TTCTTTTTCCTAATATGACTAATTAACTAACTTTATGCTTTAATACTTAACTATTTTAGTGCATAATTAACTTAAATACATAATAGTTTAATATGACTTATTTTTAACTTAACTTTAATACTTAACAGTTCAATATCATTTTGTTTTTACTCAATAATGTAATATGACTTGTTAACTCTTCCTAGTTTGACTTATCTTTAACACTTAACTTTAATGCTTAATCGTTAGTAAAGTAATTCGAATACTTAACTTTAATGCCAGTGTCACTGTCCATTTTTTCTTTTTTTTCCCCTTAATGTGAGTACTAACTAACTAACCAACTGTATGCTTTAAGACTTAACTATTTCACTTAGCTTATCTGTTTATTAGTATTGTGTAATTAACTCAAATACTTAACAGTGTAGTATGTTTTAAGACTTAACTATTTCACTTAACTTATCTAGTGTAATATGACTTATGAACTCTTCCTAGTTTGACTTATCTTCAATACTTATCTTAATGCTTAACAATTAGTAAGTAATGTGAATACTTAACATTAATAGACTGCCACTTTTCATATTTTCTTTTTCTTTCCTAATGTGAGTACTAACTAACTAATCTTATGCTTTAAAACTTAACTATTTCACTTAGCTTATGTAGTATAATATGACTCGTTAACTCTTCCTAGTTTGATTTATCATTAACACTTAATTTTAAATATTTAACAGTTAGTAAAGTAATGTGAATACTTAAACTTTAATATACTGTCACTGTCCATTTTTTCTTCTTTTTTCCTAATGTGAGTATTAACTAACTAACCTTATGCTTTAAGACTTAACTATTTCACTTAGCTTATCTAGTGTAATATGATTTGTTAACTCTTTCTTATTTGACTTATCTTTACCACTTAATCTTAATGCTTAACAATTAATAAAGTAATGTGAATACTTTAATAGATTGCCACAATCCATTGTTTTCTTCTTTTTTTTCTAATGTGAGTACTAACTAACTAACCATATGCTTAAAGACTTAACTATTTCACTTAGCTTATCTAGTGTAATATAACTTGTTAACTCTTCCTTGTTTGACACTTAATCTTAATGCTTAACAATTAGTAAAGTAATGTGAATGCTTAACTTTAATACCACTGCCACTGTCCATTTTTTCTTCTTTTTTTCCTAATGTGAGTACTAGCTAACTAAGTAACTAATCGTATGCTTCAAGACTTAACTATTTCACTTAGCTTATCTATTAATTAGTATTGTGTAATTAACTCAAACACTTAACAATGTAATATGACTTGTTAACTCTTCCTAGACTGCTGACTTATATGTAATAAACCGCCACTGTCCATTTTTTCTTCTTTTTTCATAATGGGAGTACTAACTAACTAACATTGTGCTTTGAGACTTAACTATTTCACTTAGCTTATATGTTAATTAGTAGTGAATAATTAACATAAATACTTAACTCTTCCTAAACTGCTGACTTAACTTTAGTGCTATGTAGTAGTAATATGACATGTTAACTTTTCATAGTTTGACTTATATTTGATATTTAACAGTTTATTTAGTAGTAATAATTACTTTGTTTAAATTTTTGTAGGTTATTAAAATGGTTAATGTTACCATATACTTTCATATGGTGGTGAGTGACTTAATAATCCAGAATCACACTATGATGAGAGATGGGTCCATTATTGGAGAAGGTATGATTCTGATCTAAATTTTTTACTGACTTAGTCAATGAGTACACATATAAGTTAGATTTTGTGCAACAACTTATTATACTTGGTTCTTCTGAAAAATATTTTGAAATAGTAGGAGATGAAGGAGTTAGGACATTATCATCTTTTATCTCTTGAGATTATAAATCCATTCATGTGTTTGCTACTGCTGACTATGAATGAGCTATTGATGTACATGATATTGTCGTACATGATGAGTCATTTTTACTTTTACCAATAGTTAATAAAGGCACAAACTGTAGTGAAAGTGAAAGTAATAATAATAGGCACAAATGATGTTTAGCTATTCAGATTATGATATCGATGAATTGAAAAATTTTGTTACAAAAAAATATGATTGATAGTTTGCAAGATTGTAAAGAGATTGTTAAGGGTCTAACTTTCAGGACATAACAAAAGTAAAATAATTCTGCAAATTTTATGCTATGACTAAGAAGGTAGACCTGATTGTAGTGAAGAGTAATAAAATAAGATTGAGATATAAATGTGGTACTGAAGGTTGTCCATTTGTATGCCCGATTTCAAGGGATTTGGCCACTAATAGGGCTAGTGTCTAAACACTAGTAGATCATATAGAGTGTGAAACAACATATGAAACCTCTTTAATTGATTATACAAAAATAACTCAGTATTTTAAGGAGAAATTGCAAAGTGACCCTAAGTACAAGGTCAAAGAAATAAAGATTGGCTTACATAGAGTGTTTGAGTTAAATGTAAGTAAAGCCAAGTGCAAGATAGCTAAAAGGAGATATTAGAGACTCTGGGTGGTAGCTTTGTAGACTCCTACATGAAACTAAAGGGTTATGATACTGAATTGAGGAGTTGCAATCCAGAATCTGACATTGTAATTAATTTATCTAATAAGACACTATCCAATGAGAACAAAATATTTTTTAGGATGTATATTTGTTTCAAGTCAATACAGTTGGATTTTAAGGCAGAGTTAAGACCATTTATTAGGTTAGATAGTACATTCATTAAAACAAAAAGCTAAGAGACAAGTATTGATTGTTATTGGTCAAGATAACATGAACTGTTTTAACCTCTAGCTTGGGCCGTGGTAGAAAAAGAGACTAAAAGAATTTGGACATTGTTCATGCAACAATTGCAACATTTACATGATCTTCAGAATGGTGAAGGTCATTCATATAAGATATGCAAAAAGTAATAATATACTACTAAGTTGCAATTCATTTAAGTCCCTTTATTTAATACTATTACTTTATTTAATTTAATTATTTTTATTTGATACTCAAGGATTGCTTGATGCAGTAAGAACAATTTTACCTAAAGCACATCAAAAATATTGTGCAAGATCTGTTGAGGCAAATTGATGCAAAAGACGAAGTTAAGGTGAGCTGAAAAAATTATTGTGGTGGGATGCATGGTCCTCATTTTCGAAGGAGTTTGAAAACCAACTTGAAGAGATTAAGGAAGTTGATTAGGAGGCTAGACAAAATTTATTGTACAAGTATCCTTCCAAAAGATGGTGCAAAGCTTATTTAGATACAATGTGTATATGTTGTGAACAATAACTTTTATAGAGTCCTTCCATACTTGGATACTTGTAGCAACATACAAGTCAATCATTGAAATGTTGGAAGACATCAGGGTCAAAGTAATGGGGAGGTTGGCAACAAAAAGAGACTGTTGTGAGGAAGTCGTAAGATAATGAGTTTAGTCCCAAAAGTGAAATGTTGTATAATGAGTATTTGATGATATTTAGAGTTTGTAAGGTGAACGGCAATAGGAAAAATAACTATGAGGTCGCTGAAGATGCAAATAGACACATTGTCAATCTAGGAGAGAAAAAGACCACATATAGGACACGAGATCTCACTGAAATTCCTTGTCCACATGCAATTAAGACCATGAAGTAGAAGAAAATGAAACCTAGGTCTAAAATTGATTAGTATTACAGTAAGGAGACATCCTGGGTATTTTACAAACACAAGTTACAATGTGTTAGGGGAGAGCCATTCTAGAAATTTGATCATTTAATGTCACTGAACCATTTCTAACCACCAGAAATGGTCAAGCTTGTCGAAAGATCTAAGGTTCTGAGGGATAAAGAAAAGAATGAAACAATTAAGAGGCAATGAGTGTGGAAGCAATCAAGGAAAGGAAAAGTGATGACATGTAGTACTTGTGGAGAATAAAATCATAATTCAAGAGGTTGTCAAAAGGTAATTTTTATTCAATCTATTTGACAACAAAATCATAATCCAATTCTATTATTTAATTTCTTATTTTATTTTATGAATAAAAATTGCAAAACAGAAAAAACAAGCTATTGAGTAGGGGAAGCAAATCGCTAAGTAGGGAAATTAAGCTATTAGGAGAAATATGAGACAACCTAGGAGAGATTTGATTGATGAAGAGGAGCTTCTGAGGAAGACATCAACTTAACAGCCCCCCAACCAACACAAGAAAGTCAACATGAATCCAATAGCTAAGGAAGACCCTTGGCTAAGGCTAAGAACAATTTCTGAAGAAGCTTATTTAATAAAACTGAGAAAGATGCAGAACCTTAGAACTAGAGTAATAAGCTTTAGAGGTGACAAATCTGGTGTTAATGAACCTACAAATCTCTCCATATTATCAATTGGCTTAACTTGAAAGAAAAAAGATGCAATTACTACAAACCAGCTACAAGCACAGATGGTTCAAAAGTTAAGGTCAAGAAGGGGATGATGAAACTGTGTTGATGACCTTTTTTGTATAGGTTGGTGCCTTTAATAATGTTAAGGCTAGACTTATGTTTTTGTATAGGCTGATGACTTTCTTGTATTGGCTAAACTTATGTTTTTACTAGACTAACTGAAGTGTGACAGATTTAATAGTCTGAACAAGCACCAATATAATACCAGTGATTTAAGTTTCAGAATTATGGCACTATTTTCTATTTTATGAAAGTGCAATTTTAATGTTGACTTATAAGTTTCCTTAAACAGTTTTGGGTCATGTTAATTAGTTTGAGATTAATTATCTGTTGCAAAGAAAAACCAAATCTACAACCTCAAAAATCCCATCTCAGATATAGAAAATTCAACCATTACAATTGACAAGTACCAAAATTAATTTGTTCTTACAAAATCCAATTCAAAAGATAAAATTCTCTAATCAAAATACTCATTGCGATTTCAAATCAGTTATTACAAAATCCAATTCAAAAGATAAGATTAGCTAATCAAAATACTCATTGCGATTAAACTAACACCTGAAAATTGCATTGAAGAACATATCTTGCTTACACTTGAAAATTGCAACCAAATAAAGGAAATATTTCTTCCTTACTTGAAAATTGTAACCAAGAAAAATATACACTTGCACAAAACTAGATCACTTGAAAATTGCAACAATAAATACCACAAACACAACAAATGACAATATTCACAACATCTTCAACTTCAACACTTTCGCTTTCAAATTTCTTGATTTGTTCACCTTGAAGTAGTTTATACTCTCAAAAAATATTCAAATTGTCTCTTTCAATCTTAACCGCATTCTACGACTCTCTCAAATTCTCCATTTTCACTGTAGCCACTTCCAATTTAGACTTCAATAAATTTACTTCAATCAAAGCATTTTCCGGAGAACTATATTCTCACTTTTTGTTTTCAAAATCGACAATTTTCAATATGATCCAGAACCATAGAGAAGAATTCAGATTCATAAAAATACAAGCAGAAATTATAAGAATTGACTTTAAATGAAAAGCGTACCTTAGGTTTAGAACACCTATGAAATCTTCTTCGGGGTTCAATGAAGTCCTTGAAGTGAAACAACGAGCAATTTCACCACCAAAGCAAGTCATCATCATTGAGTTACTAATTGAATCACAACTAGTTTCAGACATGGTGTAAGGTTTGATTCAGACATTGTGACAGCTGAAATCACAACTAATATCACATAAGCAAAGATTGAAGAAGAATCGACGAAGAACACCGACGAGCTAGGATTTGCCTATTGCGAGTGAGTAAAGAGAATTTGGGCTATTTCGATTTGTTTGGATATATTATTAGGTGTTAGTAACGGGTGGGTTAGGGGATTATTTGGGCGGATCTTTTTAATTCTGGGTGGTTTTCTTTGCGGGTTTAAATTTTGTGAATATTTTGGGTAAATGCATAGGATGACGACACATGTCCAGTCGTTAGAGTGAAGGATACAAATGCTCCATTTTTGGACACCAGGGACACTAGTGTCCAAATAGTATAAAGGTGGGTATTCATATATCATTTTCGATAGTTCGAGAGTATATTCGTCCTTTTTTTCTTATTTAAAAACGGAGAAGGGCCTAAAATGCCCCTCAACTATGTGAATTGATACAAAACTATCATCCGTCCACCTTTTGGCCCTCAAATATCCCTGACTTCAACTTTTTGGTTAAAAAATACCCTTATTTCTAACGGCCCGCACTCATAAGGTGGATGAGAGGGCAATAATGTACCAAATTCCATAGTTTAAGGGTATTTTAGGCCCTTCTCCATTAAAATAATTTGAAATTACTTAATATATGAACTAATATGATTGACCTGGTTTTGGGAGGTTCCACAGTAAAATCACCTCCCCCCTCCTCCCTCTTCACTTCCTCTCCTTTCCACGTTTTTTCCTCTTTGGATATTATCCACCATTTTAAATTTTAATTTCCTAAAATGAATTATGACAAAACAAGGGAGAAAAAAAAAAGAAATAACGAGGACATTCATATAGAAATAATTAGTTCAATAGAAGATAATTTAATAATATTTTTTCTTTTGTGTGCACCCAAAATTCAAAATACACGAATAGAATAACAAGACAATTGAATAATTAATAGAAAATTTTATATTAATAAAAAATAATAATAATTTTTTAGATGGACATTTAGACACGAATTTTAGATGGACCCCATTATGAATTTAGTAATAATAAATTGGGTATTGATTTAAAATAGGTCCAATAGAAAGATATCATGAAATTAATAATTTTTTGAACATTATTTTCAATCGTATCAAGTCAAAATATGAATTATTTGTAATTATTATTATTTTATTTTATTGATAAAAGTTTAAATTTGAACCAATCAGATTAAGAAACATAATAAGTAAATATTTAATGATTTCACTTTAAGGGAGTTGTTAAAAATACGAGCAAATATGAGCCAAAAGTTAAACATTAAGGACCCGTTTGGTAGGAGGTATTAATCAAAATAGTCCATGAATTAAAATTTAGTCCAATAAAAACATTGTTTGGTTACTTTATTTAATCTAATCCATGGATTAGTTATACCTCATACAAGGTCTTATTTTATCCCTAGAAAAGGGAGAGATAACTAATCCAAGGTTTAACAATCCTTGGATAAGACCCCTAAATGACTAAACTATCCCCACATCTTTTTTCCTCTTTTTTTGTTTTTGTTTTTGTAATTTAATGTTCTTTTTTTTAATTATTTATATGAGAATATTTATAAATATTCTTTTAAATTCACCAAATTCGTTCCATGTGATTTGATGATTTCACAAACTAATACTTTTTCTTCGTGTTTGATTTGTTATATTTGGCTGATTTTTTTCGTTTTTTTAAAATGTAGTTTGTCGATTGACCACTTGAACTATTTGTTTTTAAAAAAAAAGTTAGTTTCGTGTATTTGAACAATTTAAGTAGCCTTAAATTTGTGTTAAGTTTGAGGTATATTTGACCAAAAAAAAATTAGAAATATACCGTGCTATCTATGATGTCTATAGTGGCATATCACACCTCAAAAATAATAATATTTTTTTTTATATATTTTAGTATTTAACTTGACTAGTTAAATGAAATATAAAATCTCATAATAACTCAAGGGTATAATAGGAAATAAACTTTTTCTAGAGTTTTAAACCAAACATAAGATTAGGTGGGAAACAATGAACCAAACACTTGATAAAAACTATTCCCTGTATTACCAAACTCTGCATTACTAATCCATGCGTTAATAATCCCTGCATGATGCATCTTTGTACCAAACGACCCCTAAGGATATTTTTTAACCAAAAGACTGACATCAAGGATATTTGAGAGCCAAAAGTTGGATGGAGGATAGCTTGTACCAATTCAAATAGTTTAGCGGCATTTTACGCCCTTCTCTATTTAAAAAAAATATTTTTAATTTCTTTAGCAAAATTTTCAAACATATACTCCCACATAACTTGTGTAAAAGAATAAAAAAAATATAGTCCAAATATGATAATTCTAAAAATAATGGAGGTACTTCGAATTGTTTGTTGACACAATGCTTAATTTTATGTCGATAAGAAAATGAGATTAAATGTTGTACAAAAGAACGTAAAATTATGTGGAGAGTAGTTTCTCCAACCTAAGTCGCCAAAGCTTAGTAGAGCCCAAGTGAATCCACTCACTGATCAAGTATCAATCAATCAACAATTCCTCTTCAGCTGGAATCAACAAGATGAAATATTCTGTGATGATTCCAGCAAAAAACTCTAAAAATTTCAAAAAAAAGTCATAAGAAACGAAAGTTCGATAGTCCCCTAAACATCCATTTAAATCATTATCACAGTGGAGCCACCAAGAGAAGAACAATTGGAATGAAATGAACTCAATGACCAATGTTTCTATCTACAATATCAAATAGGGCATGAAGAATTAGTTACAGAAAAAGCCCTTTCAGACAGCAGCTCGCTGATCCTATATACAAGCACATCAGAAAGGGAGATTCATCTACACAGAATGCATCTCTTTAATGTTTGTTCAGTTCTTGCATTTCTGTCATTTAAGTGAAGATGTTCCAATGATTATCTGACGGTAAGCCTAGTTTGATTTTTTCGAGTGTCTTTAGAATCTCTAAGAACGAAGGTCTCTTGTTCACATCTTTAGCCCAGCACTGCTCTACCAACCTGCATGGAATTGGTTGAAGTTAGCAAAAACAGCATCAAGTTCCACTTCAAACTCCATAAGAGTTGTGAGGTCTAACATGCTACGTCTACAACTCTACATAATTCTAAAAGGAGCAATTTTAGACATGTCTATGCTAGTTAGAGCTAAAACCGTTAGAAGTAATTAAACAACAAAGGTGGTTGCCAATAGACTGACTAGGTGATGCATCATATTTTTTGGATGCCACCCTCTATTCCGATATCATCACAACTATTTTTTCTTTCTTGTCCCTTGAAGCAAATTGTTCCCAATTTGGGGAAGTTCTATGGGCTTACGCCCCAATGAACATCTGGAAGGTTGGGACTTATGTTATGCCTAAGCAAATGCCCAAAAAGTTGGGAATTACGCCTCCCCCCCAACAGCAGCCTCCTTTCTCAATGCTTTTTAGCCCGCCCGCCCAGAAACCACCTTTCGAAACACTGCATAAGACTACTGAATTCAAAGTAAATTGGGTAACCTTTTCATTTTTGGCACTAGAGGTCAAGTATCAAGTTACTTGAATGATGAACGTATCAATCTCCGATGTTTACTTACTCTTTCAATTCTGGGGTCAAACCTTTTGCCCTGAACATCGGCCTGTGTCCTTCAGCCACATATTTTGCTGCTTCATATGGTTCATAGTGCGACAGTGGTGGATCACCCTCTAGCATCTGCACCATTGTTCATTATTCATTAATAAGTTTTATTTCGCTCTCCCATTCTGCTAGAAAGCCAGCAAGGATTAATATTACCTCATAAAAGATCATTGCAAAAGAGAAGACGTCAACCTTCTTGTCATATTTCCGGTGTTTGAAAACTTCAGGAGCCATATATCGGTCTATGGATTGATCATATGGAAATAAATTAGAAAGAAATAACACCATTGATAAAAACGTCAATGAATGAAAGGAGGTAAGACAACTGCACTCACAGCTCCCAGTCTCGCCTGTCATTTTATAAACATCATGGGAATTTTGAACCCTTATTAGCTTGCTCAATCCAAAATCTCCAACTTTCAAATGGTCAGCACTGGAGTTGACAAGGAGAACATTCCTGGAAACGTTACCATATTCAGCACTATAGCTAATGGATCGTAAAGATAAAAATAGCATCATGTTATCAGCATCAAATAAGAGTTTCTCCATACACAAATTGCATAGATCAACCAATAATAGAATCATGAAGAGAAGATTAACAGACCTGGGCTTCAAATCTCTGTGGATTACAACATTTGGTTCATTGTGAAGATAAGCCAAGCCTCTGCCCACATAAACATATAGCCTTACGTGAGCAAACTACATATGAAATGTGAAGTGATTTGTATAAAATGTAAGATGGCTACAGTAGTTTCCTTATAAAATGGCATGACAGGATACTTCATCAGATAACCTTATCAGGTCAGAATGAGCTACTCATGATAATGACTGATTTTTTTTACATGCATTTTGCAATCACCTCCCCTTGTAAAAGCAAAGTAAAAAGCCCAGCTAACTATAAAAAAGATAACTTTTAAACAGAAGCTAAATTGCCAAACATTCAATTTTTTCTACCTCTTGCGTGATTCCTAAACAGTTGCAAAAAACTGTAAGTTGAATATCCGCCAATAAAATGTAAATGCTAGCAAAATGCTATAAAATGGAAAAGATAGAAGCACCAAAAAATTCTCTGTTCAGGTTAGTTTTATGAATGAAACTTTTGATAAGTACGAGTTTATTGATGTATGCCAGCATTAGTTTCCAAAATGAATCACCCATCATTTTTTTTTATCAAGTAACAAATTTTATTGACAACGGGCAAGAAAATACCCATAAGGAGTATTACCAAAAAGTAGAAAACCTTACAAAAGGATATGGTTTTCTACAAATGACACACAATCTTCTATCCCTACAGGAACCTCATGGGTGCACCAAAAACAAACTTTCCCATCATATAACCAGGGCATCAGATATACTACTGTCACAAAAGCAGATAGGAAGCTGGAATGATCTGGAGTTCAAGTAAATTAACACTGAAATTTTATAATTCATCAAGATTACCTTGCTATATCCAAAGCAAAATTAACTGCTGTAGATGGACTAAGAGCACCTTTTCCCTTGAGGTACTGATGAAGGTCACCCTAACAACACAATAAA